TTGTGCTGGGTCCTGTTCTGATGTTTACATGGATTATTTCACTAGGTTCCTCCAACTCTATGAGTAAGACAAACGTTTATTAACCCCATTTTTTGGATGAGAAAATGGAGACACAAAAAGATTTGAATAACTTGTCCAAGGTCACACAGCTAGCTAGCAGTGTGGATGCTGTGTGCCCGAGACCATCAGACTAATGACACCCATGAGGAACTAAGGATGAGAGAGATTAGCATCCTGCTGTTAATCCTGTACTCATATGCCCAACTGGCCCCCATAAGGGACATTCAGCACACTGTAGAAGGCCAGGACATAACGAGAGGAACAAAGGCCAGAGGGCACCCGGGATTGTGTGGAAGGCCTGGGCAGGTCAAGTCTCCACCACCTTGTTGGCCCACCTGAGTCTTGCCTCCTCTGTGAACCAGTCCAGACTCCTGGGCTTCAGGTTTGAGGACACTGAAGGGATGGGAACTGGGGAGACACTGCCCCCTTCAGGCTCTCTTTACCTCTGCACTGGCCTCTAATTGTGGGCTGGAAGAGTGGCCATGGAAAGAAGTACCACTGTAAAAAGGTCCAGTTTTAGATCCATTTCAATTGTAGGAACATTTATTGAGCCTACTTGGGGCCAAGTATGGAGGGCGATGGTCCACAAACAGGCATAGTCCTTGCCCTAAAGGTTAACTTAGTGCAGGAGGTAGCCATCAAAACAAGTAATTGCAGCCCTTTTTGGTGTGGATTGGTTGGTTGGAGGGTCTTCCCATACACCAAAAGGTGACAGATTCGGTTCCTGGTCAAGACATATGCCCACGTTTTGGGTTCATTCCCCCATTTGGATGTGTGCAAAGAAGCAACCAATTTCTCTCTTTCTCTCTCTCTCCCTTCCTCTCTCTAAAATAATAATAATAATAATAATTAAAAGACTAAAAAACCAATTGCACAAGTATTTTTTAAAATATTTTTTATTGACTTCAGAAAGGAAGGTAAGAGGGAGAGAGAGAAACATCAATGATAAAAGAGAATCATTGATTGTCTGCCTCCTGCACACTCCAAGTCAAGACTACAACCCAGGCATGTGCCCTGACTTAGAATTGAACTGGGACATTTTGATTTATAGGTCGACGTTCAACGACTGAGCCACGCAGGCTGGGCTGCACAAGCATTGTATCAGGTGTGAGTTGCTTGACACTTAGAGATGTTCAGAACATTCGTTCTGCTAATGTACACTGAGTAGGGTTCCTAGACTTAACCAATAAACACATAGCATGCCCAGTTAAATGTGAATTTCAAACCATTTAGCATGCACATTCCTAGCATTCACTTTCTGACTTGGGCAAATTATACTCCCATGCAATATTTGGTACATATTCATATTGAAAGATATTTGTTGTTTGAAATTTACATGCAACTGGAAGTCCCGTATTTCTGGCAACCGGAATATTGAGCGATGAGGTTATAGAGATAAACAGGAATCCCTTCCTCAAGAGAGCTTATAGTCAAGCAGGAGTATTTATACATGAGTTTGATAAATGCCCTAATTAGTACTAGAAGTAGAATCTTGTACAGGAACATCATACATGAAATTCTGACCTATACATTCAAACTGCATTTGGGAGGCGAAGATGCGGGTTGGGGAAACACCAAATATCCAGAGGGAAGGAGGCGACATGACCCATGTGAGGTGCAGAGAGTTCTGGATGGTTGAGTGTGGAAGCAAGTGTCAGGAGTTGAGATTGAACAGGGAGACAGGGGGCCGAGGACAAGAAGCCTGGAGGGCCATGATGAGGTGCTGGGACTTTACCCAAGGACAACTGGAGCCTCTGAAGGGTTTTAAAGGATATGGCCCTCTGGCTGCTTGGTGGAGAATGGGTTAGATGTCAGCTAGAGAGCACTGGAGAGAACCAAAGGAGTTGTGTCAATAATTCAGATAAGATCTGAATTATTTGATGGTGGATTTTGAGATGCTGATGTTAGTGAGATGGTAAAAAAAAATTACCCTAGCTGGTTTGGCTCAGTGGCTGGAGTGTCAGCCTGCTGACTGAAGGGTCCTGGATTTGATCCCCATCAAACGTATGTACCTCGGGGGCAGCCTTGATCCCTGGCCTGGTCAGGGCGCGTGCAGGAGACAGCCAAAGCGCCTCTCCCTTTCCCTTCCACTCCCTATAAAAACAGAAAAATATCCTTGGGTGAGGATCAACAGAAAACCCACACACAAGTGTGTTATATAGGAGCTTAAATCAATAGTTTGTTGACATGCAGTGTTGAGGTGGACAAAGGAGTTTAAGATGATGTTCAGGTTAATTCTTGGGTACCTGGAGGGATGGTGGTACCACCTGGCAGGAGGTGTGAGTAGAGTGAGAGATGATGAGTTCAGTAAGAGCCAAGCAGTACTTGACTTATGCCTTTAAGTCAGATGGCTGAACAAGTCTAGGAGGAAGCAGGCTCTATGGGCCTGGAGCTCCAGAGAGGTGTCTGGAGAGGTCAGGAGCACTGAATATGTTGTAGATAGAACTGGAGCACTAATGTTCTGCTGGGGTTAATGATAGCTAACACAGCCCATTCTATATGATTTTTTGTTTAATATATATATATATATTTTTTTTTTTGATTTTTCACAGAGAGGAAGAGAGAGTGATAGAGAGTTAGAAACATCAATGAGAGAGAATCATCGATCAGCTGCCTTCTGCACACCCCCTACTGGGGATGTGCCCACAACCAAGGTACTGCCCTTGACCGGAATCGAACCTGGGACCTTCCAGTCCGCAGGCCGATGCTCTATCCACTGAGCAAAACCGGTTTTGGCTCTATGTGTTTTAAATATATATGTAATTAAGTAAAATTTAAGTATTTCATCTGTAATAATAAAAGCTCAACTTGTCCAAAAAACTGAGGGAAAGTGTTTGCCAGATGTCCCACGGCCAGTAGAAAAGTGTAGAACTTAAAACACTCAGGACCTCAGACCCTAACTTGTGAAACCTTTACCACCACGTCTTAGGGCTGCTGCTCAGTCACCTGAACGGAGCTGAAGCATGTGGGTAAAGCCTTGCTTCATGGAGCATTCACTCCTCACCTCACCTCCCAAATGTGAGAAGTGGGGGTGCGCTCACTGTCCAGAGGACCGGCCCAGTGGGGCTCAGCTGGTGAAGAGTCAGAGCTGAGATCAGAGCCGGGGGGACTCCCTTGTGACAGACAGGAACTTCCTCTTAGGAAGAGCAACCTTCTAGAAACTGCCAGGCCCAGACCTCAGCAGGTGGAAGCAATGAAAACAGGCACTGCGGCTGACCAGTTGGATAAATTATGAAATTTATTTATATTTCGCCTTTTAAAAGCCAAAACGTAACAAATTTCACTTTCTGGAAAATCATCTTATTAGAAATACATGAAGTGCACTTAATACAAGGAAAGCAGTTTCTTAATACCACCAGTGAGACGGACACGTTCTCTTGTTCCCTCAAACGAAGGTTTTACTCCAATTTCCCTTCAAACTTAGACCGAGATGATCTCAAGTGAGGGAGGTCTGAGTGTTCTCTTTCCAAAAACTACAGTGAAGAAGCTGAGCTTAACACCTGGGCCTCCCAAGCAACAGCACAAGAGAAAAGACTACTTTGCCCCAAAGGGCCCTGTCTTTGCTGGTTACTAGGCACCCAAAGTTCTTACTGGCAGGTACGGAGCGGCCCCTCACAACAGGGCACAGACCGTAAGCCCTGTCACTTCCAACCTCAGTCACCGACCAGAAGAAATTTTCGTATCAGACTAGAGAGGTGTGACATGAAAACGCAAACTAGATCCAGATGCCCTTTGGTCGATCAGAGGTTCTGCTCCCATGGATTTGACTGCCAGCACTTAGCCTTGTGTTTATTAATACCATGAAACATGTTAAACTTCAAGCTTCTTGAGCTGCTACCAAAACAAGTATCCAGGAGACAGTTTCCATTAACAACTGCTCAAAGGAGATGTTGTGCCTTTAAACAGTGTCTTGTCAGAAGAGACGGCAGGCTGTGGTATAGGATTTCCTATCACCTCCCGCTGATAGGAAAGCAATGCTCAGTTTAATCTAAGTTTTAACCAAAGAGAAAGGAACTGGTCTCCACTGGGGCTCCAAACCTCTTCTTACTCACCTGAGGACTCCTCCTTGTATCTCAAGGACAAGAATGTAAGCAGGGTCCCAAATAGAAAAGTAAACATGACCAATCATTTGAAAATACCTTATTAGTTTGAAAATCATAAGCCAAGAGCTATGGTCCTCCTGTCTCTCTCAGCTGACCCTCCTCTCCACTTATGGAGAAATAGAGTTTAACCTAAGTTTCTAACCTAGAAACACTTATTTCCACTAAAAACATGTGGTTCCACCTTATCCTAAAAAGGCACCATGCAGGCATTTAAGACTGAACCAGTACATTCTAAAGGTGTGCAGGAGTGACAGCAAAATATCACTAATCAAAACTTCCAGCATCAGACCATGCTAGACCCAGAACATTCACCCCAGCGGGACTTTTAAAGTTTCCTGGGAGGTAACTCTAGCTCTGGCAGCTGGTGCAAGGACCACTGGACAGGAACTTGCCCAGCACAGGAGTTCCACCAGTGATCAGATGCACTACTGCCAGAGCTCACACACCTCAGGACAAGGAGAGGAGACACGTATCTCATTTGTGCTATTTGTGACCCACAAAGGTCCTGGCTGGCTTGGAGGACCTGAGAGAGGAATGCTGGGTGGGAGGAACAAGAGTGAAACAAGGACAGGTGGAGAGGCTGGGTTTTCTTCGGAAAGCAGCAGCAGAAACCCCAGGAAGTAGCCGAGGAGCAATCAAGGACAAGATGTGACGAACTGGGTTAACTGTAGGGGAAGAGCCCCAAGGAAAGGAGGGCTCTGACCTGGGGAACCGGCTTCCCTGTTAGAAGTGACCCTGTCCTAACACCACTGCCAGTCTGTTGTATGTTTCAGATTTCACACATAACATGTAATGGAAGCTCTGGAACTCAAGACGGACAGTAGAAGCCTTCCTTGCTCACTGATCAATGATGGAGCGTTGCAACACCTGATTCATCATGTCCTCTTCATCAACATCGTAATCCTAGGGGCAAAACACAGACACAAGCTCAGCACTTGTTTGCAGCTGCAAGGACTCACTTTCAGTAGGAGAAGCAGGAGAGCTGAGCACAGGGCCCTGGAGAAGGCTGCCAGGGACCGATCCCAGCTCCTGGATGACAATGCTCGCCATGGAAGTCTAGACAGACTGCTTGATCTCTCTGCCTCTCCTGCTTCATCCTGATAATGAAAACAATGATGGCTCCTTCAAATGGGGAGACTGAGGACCAAAGAGCACACAGAAGAACCTGACACAGACTAAGTACTCTAATGTGGAGTATACTGTAGTGAAAATAGCCTTTTCTTTCTTTCTATTTTTTTTTTTTGTTGTTGTTAATTCTCACCTGACGATATTTTTTTTCCCATTGATTTTTTTTAGAGAGTAGAAGGCAGGGAGGAAGAGAAACATCATGTGAGAGAGACACCTCACAGTAATTGGTCGCCTCTCGCACATGCCCAGATTGGAACCAGGAATCAAACTTGCATCCCAGGTCCATGCGCTTGACCTGGAATCAAACCTGTGATCCTTAGATGCATAGACAATGCTCTAACTGAACTGGCCAGGGTGAAACTAGCCTCTAACTCAATGAGGCAAAGTTTTCTACTCGGGCATTATATTCATCTTTATGGCATTGACAAAAGGACAGTTATTTTCAAGTCTGACTTTCAGATATGTATCAGACCATAAATACTCTTTACAACAACTCAGTAAAGAGTCATGCTTTACTTCTCAGGTCTTGAATACAGCCATTAAGACTGACTAGAGCCTGGCTGGTGCGGTTCAGTGGTTGAGCACTGACATATGAACCTGGAGGTCAGTACGATTCCATATCAGGGCACATGCCGGAGTTGCAGGCTCAATTCCCAGTAGGGGGGCATGCAGGAGGCAGCCAATCAATGATTCTCTCTTATCAATGACTAGTGGCCCGGTGCACGAGATTCATGCACATTAAAAGGAGCCGAAGCCGCTTTGGTTCAGTGGTAGAGCGTCGGTCTGCAGACTGAAAGGTCCCAGGTTCGATTCCAGTCAAGGGCATGTACATTGGTTGGGGGCACATCCCTGGAAGGGGGTGTGCAAGAGGCAGCTGGTCGATGTTTCTCTCTCATTGATGTTTCTAATTCTCTATCCCTCTCTCTTCCTCTCTGTAAAAAAATCATATATATATATGATTAGAGGAAATATTTAATATTGCTATTTGCCCTTTCTCTATAATAGAAGTGTCAGATATGAAAGAAAATTAGTAAAATGTATATGAAAATCTTCCTCCTGTCAGAGTCTGGGGCTCACCACGGGATCCAGAGTCAAGTCCCCACCCACCCATGTGCACCTCAAAACTGTGCAAGACCCAGACCCAGCCAGCTGCCGCCCATTGGGCTAGATCTAGACCCAGCTGGCCCCACCCTTGTCAAGCCCTGCTGGGTGGGGGGGCGCAGCCTCAGGTCCCCTGGCCTGGTGCCAGGGTGGGGGGGCACAGCCTGAGGTCCCCCAGCCCAGGCTGGGGCAGGGACGCACCTTAAGGTCCCCTGTCAAGCCCCACTAGGTGGTGGACGTGGCCTGAGGCCCCCTGTCAAGCCCTGCTGGGTTGGGGGTGTGGCCTGAGGTCCCCTGGCCTGGCACCAGGGTGGGGGTGCGGCCTGAAGTCCCCTATCAAGCCCCATGGAGGTGGGGCAGCTTCAGGTCCCTGCTGATTGCTTAAGGCTCTTTACAGAAACTTGGTCTCCGCTGTGGGTGCAGCCATCTTGTGTTACAAAAACGCCCTCCCCCTGTTGTGGGCACCGCCATCTTTGTGGCAGAGTGATGGTCAATTTGCATATTCCCTCTTTATTATATAAGATGTTCTATCTTTCCCTTCCTCTCTTAAATCAATAAAAAAATATTTAAAAAAAAGACTGACTACTACAAAATTCTAACTTGACACTTACATGTATAAATAAAAGGTTTATTTCAAGCAGTTGGCCACATTTATCTATCACTATACTGCCAAGACAACAGTGTGCCTTCAAAATCACTCAGCTCTAGGAAAAGGACACAAACCTAATGACCACATCTGGCCAGTGGATATGCTTTGTTTGACCTGAAGAATGTTAAAAATAAATATGTAAGACGATATATGAAATTCTGCATTTCCAGCAATACTGTGCCTGTAGTTACACATGACAAGGTTCAGCTGAAGCTGATTGAAGCATAACGAGCCACACACAGTGTAGCCTGAAAACCTGACAGGGACTATTTCACTACTTGCCTGGCCCCATGGGCATCTAAGCTAAGAATCCCAAATCAGCCCAGCCAGCATGGTTAAATGGAGTGTTGAGTTATGAACCAGGAGGTCACAGTTTGATTCCCAGTCAGGGCACAGTGCGGGCCGTGCAAAAAGCAGCTGATCAATGATTCCCTCTTATCAATGATGCTCTATCTCTTTCTTCCTCTCCATTCCTCCCCTCCCTCCCTCCCTCCCCACCCCTCTCTATATAATATTATATATAAAATGTTTAAAAACCAAATGAACAAAAAAAAAAATCCCTAGCTGGTTTGGCTCAGTGGACAGAGTATCAGTTTGTGGACTGAAGAGTCCTGGGTTAGATTCTGGCTGAGAGCACATGCCCAGGTTGTGGGCTCAATCTCCAGTGTGGGGCATGCAGGAGGCAGCTGATCAATCATCACTGATGTTCTTTCTCTCTCGCCCTGTCTGAAAAAAAAAAAACAAAAAAAAAAACAACAACAAAGAACAAAAATAAACCCCCCAAAAATCTCAAACCAGGTTCTATAACAGGTAGAAACCATACACACCAAAGGGATGGGGAGAATGGTGGCAAAAAAACAACAATCATAGGAGCAATTTGTCACTATGTCTCAGTCTAAGATAGCTGGCCAGTTCATAGTTTTATTTCTATTGATTTCTATTGATCCCTCCTGCACGTGGCCCAGGAGGGATGGAGCCTGCAACCCAGGCATGTGCCCTGACTGGGAACTGAACCATGACTTTCTGATTCATAGATTGACGCTCTACCACCAGCCACACCAGCTGAGCTGGCCAGTTCATCTTCACTGCCACTCAAGAAAGGCTGTGGCACTCATCTGGCTCACAGACTGCACAGCTACATTCCAGGGAACCTATGCTTGTAGCATCAGTGACACAGCTCAACAACAGGGCCCAAGGTTTTCCAGGTAAAAAGAGGGAGGAAGGGATCAGAGCCCAAACTCCACTTACCACAAAGGTGTCATAAGAAAACTGGTGCCGCCGCTGGATGTGCTCGATGAAGTTGGTGCTGCGGTAGTTGGGGTCCCCCCAGGGCATTGAAGCACATATTGGACAAACCTTTCAACAAAGAAGCATGGTCTCAGGCACTGATGTCTCAGCTGATGTCCACTCTCTGTGGCTCAAGTCTGAACCCTGCTCTCCCAGGACAGCTTTCCTGACACATCATCCCGGGTCAGGCACTCCCTTGTGTGCACACTGACATCAAGCCAAGTAACACGCGGGGGTGGGTAAAGGCTTAAGCCATGACGCTACCCTTTTCTTACCCCCACTGTGGTTAGAACAATGCCCAGTGGGGTCTAGACTATGGCCTTCCATCCCACACACAAAATGATTCAAGACACAAAGAAAACCAAAGAAATGACAGATGACTAATGTCCCAAGGAAGTTAAAACACAGCCTTAGGTTCTGTTTTTACAGAGTAAATGGTCAGATGAGGGGCTCAGGCTGAAAAGCTCTCAAACAGGCAATTGATTGGGTTTTGAAGACTGGGAGGCATTGGGAAAGCCAAAGAACACAGGAAAGTGTGTCTAGAAGAGGGGCAGTGGTAGCAAGGAGAAAAGGCCAAGAGGCAGCATTACAGGTGAACAGCCAGACAATCAGTGCGGCCAGAATGAAAAACTCATGGAGATAGGCAGAGGGAAGCTGGGTACGGGCAGAAGCAAGCATATGCATCTGGCTTAGGGATAGAATCCCATCATTTACCAGGAAGATATGGTGACAAGGGGGTAGGCAAGAGATGAATCTGAAATGGAGGAAGACTCCTTGAGTGGCAGAGCAAGGCAAGCGGCTGGAGCTGGGGCACAAATCGGAACGAGGGCCATAAGGAGCTCCCAAAGGAAAGTGCTGGAATACTGACAGTTAAGGAGTTCTGTGGAGGGAGAGAGACGGGACAAGGGGCCATGGGCTGAAGAAAGAGAGGCTTCAAAATGATCACATGAATTTCAGGAAGTCAAAGGAGAGGAGAAGAGAGAGAAATTAGGTTGTAGTACCAGAAACTGAGTAGTTCAGCAATACTGATCAAAATTATGAATACACTTAACCTCCAACCAAATCAATCCACAGGCAAAGATATAAAATTTTATGAATTTTTAAAATTTACTATGAAAAACTTCACACCTACAGAAAAGTGGATGACAGTTTGATGAACCAGCACTTGCCCCAACACCTATATTAAAGTTTGGTATACTTATTTCAGCAAATGGAAGCATTTTTTTTTTTAAATGTTTTATTTTATTGATTTTTAAAAATATATATTTTATTGATTTTTTACAGAGAGGAAGAGAAAGGTATAGAGAGTTAGAAATGTCGATGAGAGAGAAACATCGACCAGCCGCCTCTTGCACACCCCCTACTGGGGATGTGCCTGCAACTCAGATACATGCCCTTGACCGGAATCAAACCTGGGACCCTTCAGTCCACAGACCGATGCTCTACCACTGAGCCAAACCGGTTTCAGCTATTTTATTGATTTTTTACAGAGAGGAAGGGAGAGATATAGAGAGCTAGAAACGCCGATGAAAGAGAAACATCGACCAGCTGCCTCTTGCACACCCCCTACAGGGGATGTGCCAGCAACTCAGGTACATGCCCTTGACCGGAATAGAACCTGGGACCTTTCAGTCCGCAGATCGATGCTCTACCACTGAGCCAAACCGGTTTCGGCAATGGAAGCATTTTTAAAAAAATATGTTTTTACTGATTTCAGAGAGGAAGGGAAAGGAAGAGAGAAACAGAAACATCAATAATGAGAATAATTGATTGGCTGCCTCCTAGACACCTCCTACTGAGGACTGAGCCAGCAACCCAGGCATGTGCCCTGACTGGGAATCAAATCATGACTTCTTGGTTCCTAGGTCGATGCTTAACCACTGAGGCACACAAGGCAGACAAAAAAGGAAGCATTTTTATTTTTATTATTTTTTTAAAATTAGAGGTATTTTTTGTGTTTGTTTTTTTTTTTTTGTTTTTTTTTTTTTTTTAAATTTCAGAGAGAAAGAGAGAGGGAAGATAGAAATATCCATGATGAGACTCATTCTTTGGCTGCCGCCTGCACTCCCCTTACTGGGGATGCATGAGTCTTTGAGTGGAATTGAACCTGGGACCCTTCAGTCCACAGGCCAACACTCAACACTCTATCCACTGAACCAAACCAGCTGCGGCAGCATTTTTATTTTTATTATTTTATTAATCCTTATCCAAGGATATTGTTCCACTGATTTTTATGAAGTGGAAGGAAGAGGGAGGGAGGGAGAGAGGGAGGGAGGGAGGGAAGGAAGGAGGGAAGGAAGGAGGGAGTGAGGGAGGAAGGGAGGGAGGGAGAGAGGGAAGGAGGGAGGGAGGGAGGGAGGGAGGGAGGGAGGGAGGGAGGGAGATTTTAATGTGAGAGACACATCAATTGGCTGCCTCCCCCACAGGGCCAGGGATCAAGCCTGCAACCAAGGCACATCCCCTTGACTGTTATCAAACCTGGGACCCTTCAATCCAAGGGCCGATGCTCTATCCACTGAGCCAAATAGGTTAGGACAGGAAGCATTTTTAAAAGTTAGGGGAATTAAAATGTATATGGGCCAGATGTAACCCATAGGCTGCCAGTCTGTGACTTCAGAGGTAGATCACAGACCTCCTAAGATAGAAGAAAGAATGCACACCTGATACTCTGAACTTAGTTAAGATCAGGGCAGCTCATGACAGGAACTTAATGCAGACCATAAACACTAGAGACTGTGCCTGCCTAGCAGTAAAAGGGTCCTGCAAATGGGGTGTACGATGGGCCAAGCCAGCCCAGTCCTCTAGTTTTGGGGGCTGGGATAAGCAGATGGAGGGGGTTCACTGGTAGAATCTGCTGCAGCACAACGTGAAGAATCCAGGGGGTCCAGTATAAAAAAGTGGCTGCACTGACCAGAATTTGTACTTGACAAGAAGTTCAATAAAGTCAAAAGGAGATTTAAGATATTCCTGAAAAGGTCAACTGGATCTTAAGATTTCCAAGAGAGAAATAAAGAATGCCTCAGGCCTAATCCTATTAGCAAAACTGTAGTTCGTGCCTCGCTTTTTACAGCAACGGAGCTGAAGATTGCCCATAAAACTAGGTGTATATTTCAGCAGAAGCAGTCTGAGATAAATGGGAAAACTAAAACAAACTATAGAGGAAGATGTATTAAGACCTAGTCAGGCCCTGACTGGTTTGGCTCAGTGGGTAGAGCATCAGCCTGCAGACTGAAGGGTCTCAGGTTCGAAACCATGTACTTTGGTTTCGGGCACATCCCCAGTAGGGAATGTGCAGGAGGCAGCTGATCAATGTTTCTCTCTCATCGATGTTTCTCATTCTCTATTCCTCTCTGTAAAAAAAGCAATAAAATGTATTAAAAAAAAAAAAAAAAAAGACCTAGTCGGGGGGGGGGGGAGAAAAAGAAGAAGAAAGGACGACGGACGAACTATTCTGTTAATCACATAAGAGGGAAGGCAGCACTGTTGAAGATGGACAAAATTCAAACATTTTTTTTAAAACAAGAAATGTCAATGTGTGTTATTTAAATTAAATGTCAAAGGACTAATAAACATTTTCCTATTAATTTTAGTTTAAATTCTTTTTCTCCACAACTATGAAAAAGCTACTCTTAAAAGGAAACTGGCAGCTTGACAAGAGGAGAAACGTGGTTGATACCAAAGGACCCAAGTTAAAGACACCAACAACGGACCAAGAGACATCACTTGCTCCCTGATGTGGAACCTGGAGGACACTTCACTTATGGAGCATCCCTGCATCTAATCATGAAGCAGACAAGCCCAAACTGAAAGACCTTCTACAAAACTTGCCTGTCCTCTTTAAAAATGCCTAGGTCATGAAAGACAAGGAATAGCTGAGGACTGACGAGACATGACAACTAAACCTAACACACCGATCTGGGATTTGGGGACATGGAAGACTGATCATGATATGTAAACATGAATCCCTCAATAGACATTAGATTGTTTCAATGATACACTTCCTGATTGTGACAATTAAACACACCAAAAAAGTGATTTTTTTAAAAGCAAATGTTCTTAGGAGATATATGCTGAATTATTTAGGGACATGTTATCTATAACTTATTCTCGAATAGTAAGCAAAAAATTTGTATATATATATAAAAAGTATGGTTAAGCAAATTAACCATACTTTTGGTAAAATGTTATTGTTATTAATGTTATTATGGTAAAATGTTATTAATCCAAGAATCTAGGTAAAGGATACAGAAGAGTTTACCATATTATTCCTGTAATTTTTTCCATAAGTCTGACTTTTTCCCATAAAAAGTATTAAAAAAAAAAGTTACTCTTACCACAGATTTGGTGTCTGTGCTATGGGATAACTTGCAGTGTTCCACAAGTCCTTCTTGATCAAAGTTCTTCTCGGGACAATACGGGCAAGGAAAGGTGTAACGGTTTGGGATATTCCTGGAAGATGAAAGGCAGGGAAAAAGAAAAACACCTCTGTGAGTACATGTCCATGAAACTTCAGCCACTTTACTGTGCAAAAAGGAACAAAGTTCACTGAACGTTTTATGACAGGGATTGTGATAATTACTTCAGAGTCAGGTCAAATGTTCTAAAAACAACATCAGCACTGCTAGTATTTGAAGTGAACATCAGAGAGTGCTTCTCCACACCAACCTCCTCCAAAGACCTGCATCAGCACATCTACTGTACTTCCACTTTCTGTAATTCACACAACTCACCCCGAACATGCAAAGTGTTCTGTGTGACAAACACACAAAAAAGATGACCTTGACCGAAGGGAGTGATTTGAGGCATTTACCTTGGCTGAAGGGACACATCCTTGGTGGTGGCCTTCACACCTTCCATGATGTAATTCTGGTATTTGGAACAGGTAGCCACGTGGGCCCGGATCTTAGATAGGAAGAACTGGGACAGGAAGAATCAGAGTTGCCACAAGTTAGTCAGAACCTTGTAACAGGCCCAACATTACCCCAAAGCAAGGGCAAGATGAAAACTAAACCTATTTCACCCTGGCAAACATCTCACCGGTCTCCTGGCTGTGCAGATGGGGCTGAACCCCTGACTGTTTGTTGCCGAGTTTCTGTTAAGACCAAGATTGGTGTTTTACTTGACCAAATCAGGACATTCGTTCCATTCTACGCTAACTCTCCTAGAGGTCTGCTTTATTCACCGTATGCTCTCTGCTTACAGACACTCCAAACCAAGGACAGTTTTTAAAATTTTCTATACTAATATTTAAATTCTTCTCCTTACAGCAAACCAAGAACTACATTCCATTTTGTAGCAAAAAAACACACAAAAAAACCACACACAAAAAACTGACCATGTAAGTTAAATAAAGGCCAGTAATCCTAGTTAAAAGTACAAATCGACAGATTATTGTAAGTGATCTTTACAAAAAAACCCTAAATCTGAATCTATTTCTTCTATAAAACCTAGTGGTTTTATAGAAAAGAAAACCTAATGAGTGCTTCATGACAGGTATTCTAAAAAGAAAGAAAATGTGTAAGGAATGAAGAAAGAGGGGAGACACAGGGGAAAACATTTTTAGAGGTATACCACAATACTATCACTAATCTTTAAAATGAGAAAAATGAAAAGCATACAGAAAAATCCCCCTAAACTCCATTATGCTTCCATGATTTCCATTTAATTTTTTAAATTAAAAGGAAACTACAGGAAAAAAAGCTTCAATATTTGAGCTCTGGTTTACCATGATGCTTCTGTCTTATCTCCTGCTAAAATACTTAACTTCAAGCTAGCAACCAGAGCTCCCAATTAAAAGAAATGGGAGCCAAAACCGGTATGGCTTCAGTGGACAGTGTCGGTCTGCGGACTGAGAGGTCCACGGTTCGATTCCGGTCAAGGGCATGTACCTTGGCTGTGGGCATATCCCCGGTAGGGGGTATGTAGGAGACAGCTGGTCAATGTTTCTCTCTCATCGATGTTTCTAGCTCTCTATCCCTCTCCCTTCCTCTCTGTAAAAAACAAAACAAAAAAATATATTTAAAAAAAAAGAAAAGAAAAAAAAAGGGAAATAGTCTCATTCAGAACTGTACCCACTGTGTACCCCTCATGCTAAATCACTGAAAGGGTGACTGTAAGGCATATGCACTCTAAAGCAATTTAACTAAGGTGTTAGAGTAATGACATTAACATGCAAGAATGTCCAACAGTCCTTTGGTGAAAAAATTGTTTCAAATGTGAAAAAAGTTGTTGAAATATATATTATAGTATGATCCTATTTTGTAAAAATCCTACACCCATGGTTTTCAAAGGGTAGAAAATATTTTTCAGTCTTCTAAACTGAACCACTTTAAAGAGGTAAGCTCTGGAGTGGGAACAAGCCTACATTATTTTATACTAGTGGCCCAGTACATGGATTCGTACACATTGAAAGAAAATTAACTAGAATATTTTAATATCGCTATTCACCCTTTCTCTATAATAAAAGTGTCAACCAAATTCATGATCAACAATGACAGATCAAAATACACGCATACGATTGGAACTGAGAGCTTTATATGTATCACGCATGCGTGAGTCAACTTAGCCTTTTATATAGAATAAACTTGCTTAATTAGACCTGCTTTCTGATTTAGCTAAACTATTTCCAGTCCAGTGAAGCACCCCAACTTTTCTTTCAGGTAACTGTCAGCAACACAGCAGTAAATATCAACACAAAGCAGATTAATATTGTAGATCATGCAGGGAGAACAAAGGGTACAATATTTAACTGCAGCACTGTTTGACTATATTCTGTGCAGTGAGAAAACCTGAAGTCATTTTAAAGCTCCACCATTTCTTACTTGTTTTCAGTCAGGTCAAGTTTCTAAGCTTTCTAAATCTCCATTTTCCAGCTAATGAAAAGAAAATAGGATTCTACTGTGTCCTATCTACCTTCTCTAGGACTTCTGTGAGGATCAAATGAGATGAAGCATGGTAAAAACCCTTCACAGTCATGTGGCGAAAGTGTGAAATGTTTGCACCTGGCAAGTCATGTTCCTAGACTGAAGAAACTGCAAGGAGGCTAGTTGTCGCTAGGCAGAGGAAGCCGGTCGTTGCTATGTGATGTCATTACCCAGTGCCCCCACAGTGACCATTTTTGGGCTGGGCTAGGCTGTGGGCAGCATTTTGCACCATGGGGTCTTGGCAGTGATGCAATTTGGTGGGCAGTCGCTCTGGGGTGGCAGTGAAGCCTTTGTCCCACTTGGGGGAAGCCAAATGTTGCTTTGTGGACGCCAGGTCCATGGTGCCATTTCTCTGTAAATGGACAGTGCCCATCACAGCAGCTCCTGCATTGAGTTTATGCCCCCTGGTGGTCAGTGCACGTCATAGCAACCAGTCAGACAGTTGGATACTTAGCATATTAGCCTTTTATATATACACACCATATTTTCCGGCGTATAAGATGACCCCCCTAATTTTACAGTTAAAACATATGTTTAGGCCTATATTCGCTGTATAAGGCTACCCCCCACTTCCAAGGCAACACCAGTTCTTTTTTTTAATAGACTGCCTCTCTGACTCTGGCCAATCTGAGCAGGTTATTTTCGTTTCAAAAGTCGTCTTATACGCCAGAAAATACGGTATATAGATTGTTGTACTGTCTAGGATTATTTAAAAACCAATAAGCCTGTGTATATCTCTTGGAAAACAAGAAAATAAGACAGTATTTCTTGTTACAACAGATATTAAAATAAATATATTTGACTCTAATATGGTTATACAAAAGAGCATGGGTGCATTTAGGTGTTAGATCTTGCTATTATAATCAAACATTTCATATTGACCTTTGTATCATGCTTTTTTCCCTGTCAGGTGCTAAAAATTGATTAAATTTTATATCTGTAATTATACACAATATTTTAATTTTTAGAGAGAGGAAGGGATAGAGAGTGAGTGAAACATTGATGTAAGAGATAAACATCCCCTGTCTGCCTCCCACACATGCCCTGACCAAGGATCAAACCCACAACCTGGGGATGTACCCTGCCTGGGAACAGAACCCATCACCTTTTGGTATACAGGATGACTCTTCAACCTAGCCACACTGACCAGGGCTGATATAGATTTTTAAATTTCCTCTCAAAACTAACTAAAGCAGATAACATTTTTGAGTCACTGACTTTATTTTATATTAAAAGATATTAAGAAATATCCTTGTCATTATATTTTAATTAATATTGTGCATAATGCTTTGGAAAAATGAGCCATAGGGGGAAACTGGGATAACTGATTTCTATGATTTTCAAAGCTAAAATATGTAATATACTAAGCCCAATCTAAAAAAAAAAAAACCAAAAAAAAACCAATAAGGTTACTGAAATGAAATAGCACAGCCATTGCCACAGAAAACCAGCATGCACACATGCTATTAGTCATCCATCATGCTCTTCATGGCAACAGCTCTGTTTTACCCCATCTCATCACAGAAAGACCAACTCTCCCATTTTCCTTCCACATACATTTTTACGGCAGCCATGGCAAGAAGTCTCTGTGCTCTCAATCTGCCGCTCGAGCTCCACGGCTCGCTCGCCAGGTGCCAGAGGGCTGCGACAGACCCCACAGACAGGCTTCTTCGGCTTCAGACATTCCTGCAGGCATGCAGAGCAAAAGCTAGAACAAGACACACAGAGAACCTGAGTCATGCATTGTGAAGACAAGACAACAAAATGGATAAACTTTTAAAAGACATCAATGAATAATGGGTTCAAGACAACTTGCTCCTACTCCTGATTCAAATACCAAGGCCCCCTGCCATGGCCAGTGTGCTCAGTACTTAGAGCGTTGGCCTGAGCATCAAGGGGCCTCGGGTTCGATTCCTGATCAAGGACATGTACCTATGTTGCAGTTTCGCCACTGCGTTGTTTGGAGCTTGTGCAGGAGGCAACCAGTTGATGTGTTTCTTTCACATCGATGTTTCTCTCTGTCTCCCTCGTTTCTCTCTCTCTGAAAAGTAATGGAAAAAAATACCCTGAGGTGAGGAGTAACAAAAAAAAAAACAAGAAAACCTGTGTCTCCCTAAGCCAGAAAAATGAGGGTGGGGGGATGGGTCCTGCAAAGAATACACAGGTCTAGCAACAGAAACAAATGTGACACAGAGCAAACAGTGTCAGTACACTGAGGGGTTTCCTGAATCTCGGTTTTTCCTCTGTGAAATGGAGATAGTAGTACTCACCTGTAGGAATGTTGGGAGACCTTAGTACAGTATCTAGCACATTTGAAATGCACCACACACAGGAGCTGCTATCATTAGAGGTGAATGCAAAGCACTATGGGAACACAAATAAAAGAGCAACTAGTTGTGACCTAAGGACAGGGCTGGGAAGACTTCAGAGGCAGCATCTACAAAAAGAGCCTTAAAAAAAAGTTTAGCTGGCAGAGCACGAGGCTATCCCAGATTCTTAGACTTAAAAACTCATGATGCATCTAAGGAAATAATAAAAGCCTAACACTTTGCCTCATAAGCAGATTCTAAAGCAAAGTATTAACAAGATAAATTCACGTTTTAGAAAAACAACTCTGGGACTAGCACAGAAAATAGTATTGGTTTCAATTTTTTTTCTTTTAAATTTTTTTTAAAACATATATCTTTATTGATTTCAGAGAGGAAGGGAGAGGGGGAGAGAGAGATAAAACATCAAGGATGAGAGAGAATTATTGATCAGCTGCCTCCTGCACATCCTACATTGGGTATCCAGCCTGCAACCGAGGCACGTGCCCTAACCAGGAATCAAACCGTGACTTCCTGATTTATAAATCGACACTCAAGCACTGAACCAGGCTTACATTTTTTTTTTTTTTAAGGTGAGGAAAGTCAAGAGGACACTTGGAGTAGAAACCAAAAAGATGGCTAACAGCAAAGGACTGTGAAGGCCTGACTGAGGCAACAGAGAATAAATTCAGGAAATGACTCAGAGGTGTAATCAGTAGGACTGGTAACTTACTGAATTTGGAGGAGAAAAAAGGCCAAGTTTCTTTAAAAAATATATATGTTTTTATTGATTTCAGGGAGAGGGAAAGAGAGAAACATTGATGATGAAAGAGAAGCATAGATCAGCTGCCTCCTGCACACCCCTTACTGGAGATCGAGATGGAGCCCACAACCCGGATAAGTGTCCTAACCAGGAATCAAATTGTAACCTCCTGGTCAGAGATTGACACTCAACCGCTGAGCCCAAGTTTCTATCTTGAAACCTAAACAGGTGGTGATGCTGAGGTCAAGTACACAAAAAGAATGGGTAATGAGGTATGAAAATACTCCAGCTGTATGTAAACCTGATAGGTTTAAGACAGAATGCATAATCAAAGATAATCTGCACATCTGACAATTTTTTACTGTTTCTAAGAATTTCCTTCCTCTTTGTTACTAAGCTAGATGTTGTTATTCTGCTAGGCCACATTCTAGACCAGGCTGGGAGGTGAGGGGGTCTAGTGATTCACCACTGAAGGCACAATGTTGAACAAAACTAAGTCCTGATCCTCATAATTGTTGTGTTCCAGAGTGGAGCAAAACACAAATATTAGAAAGTGATTAAATACATGAAGGAAACAAAGCAATGAGATCAGCTGGGGTGGATCACAGAAAGCTTCATTAAGAAGGTATCATTTGAACTGAGGCCTAAATTTAAAAGGAGGCACACAGACCTGGATGCAGAGTTCCATACAAAGATGAAACCAAATACAGAGGGGTGTCCGAAAACAGAAAGGACAACCTTTGGAGCCATGATAAACTCCTGCTAAGAAAACAGGCTGCTTTCATTTTCCATTTCCTCCATATGGCCTTCTAGTTCAGCCTTTTAGATGCTCCACCCTTTCTGTTAACAGTGCTAGTATGTACCAAGTCCTTTCTCCTGGGCACCCAGCCACCTGTATGGTATTGGACTGGAGCAGGATAGTCATTTAGAGGTTGAAATAAAAGTTTTATAAAAATCTAATGCTACGCCCAGCCAGAGCTACAGTGATGCTGAAGTTTCCAAGCACAAAAGTTATCAAAAACCAATTAGGCAGAGCAAAAAAAGCACTTGGCTGGCCCTTGGAGACTCAAGAGAGGTGAATCCGTTTTCAATCAACTTTGAACTGATGCACATGTAGACGTAGTATGGTGAGTATAGCAAAGAGTCAAGGTTTGAATCCCAGTCCTGACCCTTGACCTCTGACCCAGGAAAGGTTCATCTGGCTCAAGGAAACCTCAAGGTTTGTTGCTCCTCAGTTGGTAAATTCTGCTAAGTCAAGCTTCTTTATTCACCCATTACCCCCACCCCCACCCTCCCTCAGTTTGATTCCTATAATACCCTTCCATTGCGCAATGAAATTTCACAATAGCCTGAACATTTGCTGGTACTTATTAGCCTGGTTGTGAACTCTGAGGGTAGAATCACCTTATTTCTTACTATGCCCCAAGAATCTGGTACATAGTGGGCATACAAATATTGTGGGGTCTGTTGAACATAAAACTGGAAGATGGATGCTCCCTGTGCTGGGCACTGGGGATAAAAACAGGGCAAAATAAAAATGGACATTGCCCTCATGCCCCTAAGCTTTGCTCTGTGCAAGAAACTGGGAGTAATTTAAATGGGGATGGTGACAAAGGAGGTCACAAATTGGGACTTGAAGTCTGAAAAGGATTTTGGGTAGTGGTGAGGGAGGCGCAGGTGGGGACAGCAAGAGTTCCAGGCAAAATGAACTGCAAACGGAAGAGCCCAAAGCTATAATAGAAGGAGCTTTGTGTACCTGAAGAAGCAAAGAGCAGTCAGTGTGACCGGGAGCTCTTCCGCTGCAGAAATAATGCCCATGATGCCCAGCAGGTGCCTGCTGACCAGGAAAGGGGCCCTACGACCAATGCCAAGGTGGCGGCCTATGACACACACTGAGGGAGGCCATGAAGGAAAAAAACACCCCTCAGAGGCAAGAAGTAGGTGGCCAATTCTTTCCGTGCGGGACCTGTTTGCGTGTCGGATGCAGCCAGGCTGAGATGCAAATCCGGCCAAACTCAAAACACCTACCGCAGTCCACACGCCTCCTTTAGTCGTCCTAACGCCTCCTAGCGATATGCAGGCCATGGAGGCTTCATTCCCAACAACACGGAACACACCAGAACCCAAGGAAACAGGAATGCTAACGGTCCCATTCTGCCGCCTCTCCGGCCCTTTCGCAGCGGAGGCAGCTGGGCCAGATTTGCCTTCCCCTTTGTTCTCGTGGCCTGGCTCAGGGTTCCTCCACCTTCAGTGCACATCAGAATCGCTGGGCAGAGCTGGGCAATGACGCCCGCTGTGCTCCCCGGGAGGGGCGATGAGCGCTCTACCCAAGCGGAACGCGGCTCTGGAGGGCAGGAGCCCAGCGGGGTTCAGCCGCACTCTCCCGCGCGGGAGGGGCTGACAGGCCGCTTGGAACTCGGCGGGAGCTCTTGAGGAAAGTGGGATTCTTGGAAGGAAGCAGACAACTTCCGCGGGCCTTCAGAAGGCCCCGCGGAGAGGCCATTTTGGGCCGAGGCACACCCCCCCCCCCGCCATAAACCCTCCTCCGGCAGCTCCAGACCCTCCCCGCCGAGGCCTCGCCCCTCGGCTCCATCCCCTCCGCCCAGTCAGGCGCCCCCCCCCCCCGACCAGGCCCGGGCCCGCCGCTTACACGTGTCCGCAGAGCACGCGCACCGGCTTCTCGTACACCTCTAAGCACACGGGACACGTGAAGCGGGCCAGCGGGTCGGCCTCCGCCGCGGGCCCCGCCGGCTGCACAACACCCGTGCGGTCCTGCTGCTGCGCCGCCATCTTGCCGCCGCGGAGCGCAGCCTAACGGTGGCCGAGGAGGAGCCCGACGGGGCGGGGCCGAGGCGGCCCACCGGCGCGCGGGGGGCGGGGCGAGGGCGGGGGCGGGGCGAGGGCGGGGCTGGCGGACGCGGGGGACTCCGGGAGCGCGGCTTTCGGGATATGGCCTGGCCTGAGGGCGGGGCTACGGTGCGCCACGCCTCCTGGCCCCTCTGATTGGAGGGAGGGAGAGAAGAAAAGTGAAGGGAAATCTGGAGAATGGGTATTTTGAGATTAGCAAAATTCGAACCGGTTTTGGGCTTCCACCTGTTTCCTACATAAAAATCATTACTGTTGCTTCGTATTTACTTATGCACTATTGCTAAATATTTCTCTTCAAGCCGAGTTGATTTCTTTAAACTTCAGCAAACAATAAAAAAGAAAAAATTAGAACAAAAAGAATAAATAAATTTAAGCAAACAAAATTTAAAGGGAGATCTGGTATCATTCCTGAGCTACAAATAAAAAACAAGTATCACATTTCTACAAGGGAACTGTAAAACTACAATGGAAATTTAAAAAAATATCATCCCCCTCTTCCCCGGTGATTTGAGAGTGCGCTTATTAAAATTAGGGACAATCCATGTGTCTCAGTGGTTGTGTCAACCTATGAACCACATCACAGTTCCATTCCTGGTCAGGGCACATGTCTGGGTTTCAGGTTCAATCTCCAGTAGGGTTGTGCAAGAGGCAGACAATCAACGATTCTCTCTCATCATTGATGCTTCTATCTCTCCTTCTCCCTTCCCCTTTGAAATCAATAAAATAAAACTATATAAACTATAATAACTATAATAAAACTATAATAAAACACAGAAGAGCTTTAGATAGAAGAAGCAACAGGAGAGAACCTAGGTGTGGCTGCTTTGACTCATTGAAAAGTCAGAGAACAGGGGGTCTTGGAAACAGGTTCAGGGCATTAGCCTGGTGGAGCTGTGGTGGCCAATTGCTTCCTTGGTTGCAAATCTCCTGGAGACTCTTAGAGATCAGGAGATGCACACCAGAGAGGGGGAAAAAAGACTTGGACATGTTCTGGTGAGAGAAAGCACCCCAAAACTGTATCATTCGTTCATGCTGAATACTGCTGATGCTGAAAAGAGAGATTGGCCATTACTAAGTAGGTGTTGAAGACAGGATATCACCACACTGAGACTTGCTAGTGAAAGCAGAAATAATGGAAGCATATCTCCCTCCCTAAGTCAACATTATTTGATATTATGTTCACCTGCCTCCTGGTGATAAGGTTCAGCTTCTGATCGTATAGGTGGGGAAGCTGAAGCTTGGATAGACTAAACCTTACCCGCACAAGAAAGGAGCAGACCTCCATCCCAGATGTTTGAATCCCAATTTTCTCCCCTCTTTACTGCACCCAATTGACTCTTGCATATATCTATTTAACAAGAGACAGCTTTTTTAAAAAGAAGGCTGTGCTAACAATTCTACATGGTTTTCTTAACCTGGACAGTTAATGATTAATTAAGCCTCTATCTGAAAGGAAACAAAATCTTCACAGGAAGGAGTCTACATGGGATCAATAAAAATCATGTTAGTTAAACCAGGTTAATTGAATGCAAATTTGTGACATTCCCAATATGCCAAAATTTCTGACTTGATCCCCAGTCAGGGCACATACAAAAAGCAACCAATGAATGCATAAGTGGAACAAAAATCTTGTTCTCTAAAAATAAATCAATAAATTAAAAAATTTTCAATTCCTCTGTCTCACTAGCCATATTTCTAGTGCTCAATAGCCCTATAGAGGCTATGCATCAGGACACAGCAGACACAGACCATTTTCATTACCACAGAAAGTTCTGTGGACAGTGCTATTGTAGAGCTACTCACACACAGGTGTCCAGCTCAGCATTGTTCATGGTAGAAAAATTACTAAACAAATACAGTAGATATAGATATATATAGATATAATTACCATACTGATCTGTCAACTCCATGAGGACAAGACTTTTCGTCTATTTGTTTACTGTACCTTTAGCTTTAAAAATATGTTTTTTATTTTTATTGATTTCAGAGAGGAAGGGAGAAGGAGAGAGAAACACCAATGATGAGAGAGACTCATTGATCAGCTGTCACCCCCCTGCTGGGGGTTGAGCCGAAACCCGGGCATATGCCCAGATGAGGAACCACTGAGCACACAGGCCCACCTGTATCTTTAGCTTTTAAAAACAGTGCCTACGGCATGGTAAGTAACTCCATATATAAGTGTTAAATGAATATACAGCTGATATGAAATGATCTTCAAAAGATATATTTAATTAAAATAACACCAAGGTGCTGAATAATGTAACAAGTATATATTTGTGTATGGTAAATAGATGTCTCTGAAAGGTAAGGTGACCAATCCTCTTGGTTTGCCTAGCCAGGGTTGAAGGTTTTCCCAGTGCTAAAGCTTGGAAGTCCCGGGCACATAAGTTGATCACCCTACTGAACTGAGTTCTGAGAATCTGGTACCGGTGTCTATCATCAGAAAGGAAAACTAGGGGCCTGTGGTCTAGGTTCTAAGCCTGGAGGAAGACTTACTTTCATTCTCTTCCCTCTTGTATTGTTTAAATTTCCCCTCTTGTATTTCTGCATTACTTTTTAAGTAAAAACTAAAGAATATTGCATTAGGCCCTGTGGAAGAATAGATGATTAGACATAACCCAATCCTCAATCCCTACCTCTTAGCCTCAAATCACATGTAAAATTTATTGTTATACTTATCTGAAGTAGGCAGAATTCACACCATTATGTATTATTACATTTATTAATCTATGGGCAGATAATTTCTTTTTTTTTTTTATGGGCAGATAATTTCATCATTAATTTCAAATTAGTAAGAGATTCAAGATTGCCAAACCGGTATGAGCCCAGAGGAATTTCCACCCACACAAGTATTTCACACCATTATATGACTCACCTGGCTCAACTAGGTGAACACCGCCTCCTTTTCCTCTCCAGTTCCTTAAGGGCTTACTGTCCCTGCCCATTATGCTTACTGTACTTAGCCTTTCAGTAAAAATCAGAAAGGGGCCCACCAGTGTGGCTCCATGGTTGAGTGTGACCCATGAATCAGAAGGTCACGGTTCCATTTCAGTGAGGGACATGCCTGGTTTTTAGTTAAATCCCCAGTAGGGATTGTGCAGGAGGCAGTAGATTGATGATTCTCTCTCATCATTGCTGTTTCTATTTCTCTCTCCCTCACCCTTCCTCTCTCTGAAATCTGTAAAAAAATATATATATATATATTTTTTTTTAACAAGGGGGACATAATCTTGGATTGCAGAGTTTTAACATGAGTAACACTCATGCAAATATTCATTCAACCAATACCTTCTATGTGCCAGGTGTCCTGATGGATGTTTGGGATATGGCTGTGAATGATTTGGACAAATGGGAAAGATGTAGGAAGATGACCACATAAAAATAGCAGTTTATCAATTACTCCAGCAGGTCACACAGCATTTTTGGTTTATATTATATCAATAATTATATGCAAAAATTATGATTCAGTAAAATGTGACAAGAACTAGAACTGAACAATGAATATTATCAAGACTGAAATAGGGATTTAAATCCACCACCGTCAGCAAAAACTGCATATATTGTGATTTGAGACATTGGCTAATGATAGAATGAAGTCATCACAATTAGTAAGACATTGAAAAATGAAGTGTTTATATAGAAGTGGAGTTGCTGGGTCATTTAAATTTATTAGAAACTGCCAAACCAAACCATTTCCCAAAACCTCTAATGATATGTGAGCTGCTACACATCCTCACCAACATTTGGCTATCTACATTTTGCTTTTAGCCATTCTAGTAGCACCTTGCAGTTTTAATTTTTTAAAATATATTTTTATTGATTTCAGAGAGGAAGGGAGAGGGAGAGAAAGATGGAAACATCAATGATGAAGGAGAATAATTAATCAGCTGCCTCCTGCACACCCCTTGCTGTTTTAGTTTTTATAATGATGGGTGATGTTGAGCATTTGTTCATTTGCTTACTGGCCATTTGAATGACTTCCTATGGAAAATGTCTGTTCAAGTCTTTTGCTAATTTTTTATTGGATGTCTTTTTTTATTCTTTAGTTGTAGGAGATAAAATATTATTTTGTATTTAGGCCATTATTTTTATAAGTTTTTATTTTGAAATATTTTTAGACTTACAGAAAAGTAGAAAAAATGTTTTAAAGAATCCCAGAAACCCTAACAAATTCCCCAATTTTTTTTTTCTCTCTCTCTCTTTGTCTTTCTCTAGCCTATATAATAAAAGCCTAGTATACTAAGAGTCTGGTTGTCCAGTTGGCCATTCAACCAATCAAAGCATAATATGCTAATGATATGCTAAAGTTGCTTAGCCACTTGCTATGACGTGCACTGACCACTGAAAGGCAAACACTCAATGCAGGAGCTGCCCCCTGGTGGGGAGTGTGCTCCCACAGGGGAAGCACTGCTCAGCCAGAAGCCCTGAGCAGGACTCAGGCTGGCAAGCACAGTGGTGGTGGCAGGAGCCTCTCCTGTCTCTATGGCAGTGCTACGGATGTTCCTGTGGGGAGTGGGCCTAAACTGTTGGTCAGAGATCCCCTGAAGGCTCCCAAATTGCAAGAGGGCACAGGCCAGGCTGAATGACCACCCTGAGTGCAGAAATTTCAGGCACCAGGTCTCTAATATATATATATATATATATATATATATATATATATATATTAGTGCCCTGGTACATGGATTCATGCACATTGAAAGGAAATTAATTAGAAAGTGGCCCAAGGGGCAGGATTGGATGAGACAGGCCAGTGCTGTGGCTCTAAGGGCATCTGCAGAGTGAGCGGGGTCCCTCCAGTAGGTGGGGTCCCTCAGCCTGACCTGTGGGGATTGGGCTGAAACCAGCTCTCCGACATCCCCTGAGGGGTCCCAGATTGTGAGAGGGTGGTCCTCAGGTGACACACCTTAGAATCAGGCTCCTTC